AAAAAAAAAAAAAAAAACCACAGAAAAACTTGTCTAATTACACTTGTAGTCGTCATCCAGCCACTCAATACACGTAACTGACATTGATGTATACACAGTAATTCAATAAGAGTTGTAAATGTACCTGTGTGCGGTTTATTTTAATATTTACCGTTCAAAAGCGAGCTCACTGCTGTCTGTCCCATAGAAGAACATGACAGCGGAGGCTGTGTTTGTAACTATTGAGGATTACATGAACCACGTGATCGCTCTGGCGGCGACATCAAAGGCTGTCTCCAACCTGTTCTTATCAGTCACGCCCCCTCTTGACGCTGGGACTGTGCACATCCATGATGTGAATCACCCATTCCACCACATCCCAAAGGTGCGGTTTGAGATCTGAACTCATTGTCATGTTCAAGAAACCAGTTTGAGATGATCTGAGCTTTGTGACATGGTGAGTTATCCTGCTGTAAATGGTCATCATTAGATGGGTTCAACTGTGGTCATAAAAGGATGGACACAGCCAGCAACAATAATCAGGTAGGCTGTGGCATTTAAACAATGCTCAACTGGTACTGAGGGGCCCAAAGTGTGCCAAGAAGATATCCCACACACCATTACACCACCACCACCACCAGCACCAGCAGCCTGAACCGTTGATACAAAGCAGGATGGACCCATGCTTTCATGTTGTTTGTGCCAAGTTCTGACCCTGCCATCAGAATGTCACAGTAGAAACCGAGACTCATCAGACCAGGCAATGTTTTTCCAATCTTCTATTGTCCAATTTTGGTGAGGCTGTGCCTCATTTTCCTGTTCTTAGCTGTCAGGAGTGGCACCCTGTGTGGTCCTTTGCTGCTGTAGCTACTTCAAGGTTCAACATGTTGTTTGTTCAGAGATAGTCTTTTGCATACCTTGGTTGTAACAAGTCGTTATTTGAGTTACTGTTGCCTTTCCATCATCTTGAACCAGTCTGGCTATTCTCCTCTGACTTCTGACATTAACAAGGCATTTTCGCTCAGATAACTGCAATTCACTGGATTTTTTCTCTTTTTCCGTTCATCCTCTTTAAACCCTTGAGATGGTTGTGCATGAAAATCCCAGCAGATCAGCAGTTTCTAAAATACTCATACCAGCCTGTCTGGCACCAATAACCATGCCACTTTTAAAGTCACTTAATAACCCTTTTCCCCATTCTGATGCTCGGTTTGAGCTTTAAGAGGTATTTAAAAAAAAATAAAAAATTCAAATGAATTTTGGCAGATAATAGTGAAGCTGCTGGATTTTGGATACAACTGACCTCCTGTACTTTACCATCCAAACTGGTCTGCAGTCCATTGCAATCTATTTTGCATGGGAGTTGTTTAATTGGTCACAGGTAGACTTACTCAGTTTGCGTCTGAACACCTGGTCGAGAGTGGCTTTATGAGGCTCACTGCTAGTGCTAGCATTAGAGGCTGTGTTAACTCAGACCTCTGGGTTCACTGCTAAATGCTTTGCATTGAGGTGAGATTTCAGGCTTGAATTACTCTGATGGTACAAAAATTCCTTACTGCAGAAATTACAGAGAATGGTGCTCCTATCAGCAGTTATATCTGGGCATTTTTTAAATGCAAATGTTCCACTCACAGGGCCAAGCAGTGTTGGCTTAATCCTGCCACCTGATTATGGCGATGCATGCACACTATTCCTGTCTGCATCTTACACCCCGCTATTATGTGCTGAACTGTCTCAGCAGCATCTTTGCATAGCCTGTACCTGGGGTCCTGTCTGGTGTGGTAGACCCCTGCTTCTATTGATTTTGTACAAAGTGCCTGTTCGTGTGCTGCCATGATAAGTGCTTCTGTGCTGTCTTTCAGTCCAGCCTTTTCCAGCTACTGGTAGGATTTTTTCACTTCCTTGCGGCTTCATGGTTCCATTTGCCTGCAGCACCCCAAGGTATTTGTAGCTGTCCTGAACATTTGCAATGCTGCCTTCTGGTAGTTTAACCCCGTCAGTTCTGATAATCTTCCCTCTCATAGACACCACCCAACTACACTCATCTAGTCCAAATGACATTCCGATGTCTTGCTGCAGATCCTGGTGAGGTGGATCAGTGAATCAATGTCTTGCTCATTCCTGACAAACAGCTTGATGTCATCCATGTAGAGGAGGTGACTGATGGTTACTTCACTTCGGAACCGGTATCCGTAGCCACTCTTTGCATTAACTTGGCTGAGGGGGTTCAGGCCTACGCAGAAAAGAAGCGGGGACAGTGCATCACCTTGGTATATGCTGCACTTGCTGATAGCTTGTGCAATTGGCTTTGAGTTGGCCTCCAGAGTCGTTCTCCACAGCCCCAGTGAGTTCCCGATGAAGGCTCTTAGTGTCCTGTTGGTGTTGTACATTTCCAAGCATTCCAGTATCTATGTGTGTTGCATGCATGAGTCATAGCCTTTCTTGTAGTCAATCAGTGTGGTGCACAGGTTGGTCTGACGGGTTTTACAATCTTAGGTGACTGCTCTATCGACCAGTAGCTGGTGCTTGGCTCCCCTGGTATTACTACCAATTCCTTTCTGAGCCTTGCTCATGTATTGGGCCATGTGCCTATTCATCTTAGCCGCTTCCATGTACAGAGGCCGGTTATTGGCCGGTAGTTGGATGGGACCACGCCCTTCTGGGGATCCCTCATGATCAGGACTGTCCGTCCCTGGGTCATTGTTACATTCCAACTTGTCTAGGAAGTTCAGGAGTAACCGTAATAATTAAATAAACAATACATACCGGAGAAGGAAAAATGAAGCGCTGGTAGGATTTACGTAAGACAAATGTTTTATTAACTAAACAAAAATGTAAACTCGAACACAAAACAGTCCTCCAAAAACTGAGGATGATAAGAACTAACTATAAACTGAAAACAGTCCACTCAAAAGGAGGGACGACAATGCACAATCAATACAACTCAGAAAACACCGGATCTTAGACACTAAACGGAAAATCACTACACACTAACACACTGCGAGGAGGTACAGTAAAACACGTGGTGGTGAGACGGTTCCCAGGAGCACTAGCGGTCCACTGACAGCCGGCGGCCTCGGTCCACTCTCCCTTTATCCTCCACCTGATTGGCACCAGCTGCGAGGCACCATTCAGGGAACACACCTGCAACACGCACCTGTAACAAACACAAAGACACCCACACACACACACACACACCACAAACTCTACGGCATGTAACAGTCATCAACTCTGGATGGATCCCATCCATCAGCAGCTGGTTCATTTGTGCTGCCAGGTGTTTATGGAGTGCACAGTACATTTCCTTAGCCAGCTAGCCAGCTTTAGTTATACAGTGCAATAATCAGATTATAATCATAATGCATTATAGACTTGGGCATCATATAAAGTATTACCAGAAATTCCACTGCACTCAGAACATGATCTTCAGTTGTTTGCACTGGGTTGGGATGAATGACAGAATGAGTAAGAACAGAATCTCAGTATACAGAAATATCTTTAATTCATAAAAGATGTACAATATTTTACAAATGACACATACTGTATGTAAGGCAGGGTAAAGGATCTTTGGCACACTCCTCAGTTTCCTGATGTTTATGACAGAAAACATATACTATCTTTTTTAAAAAATACATATCTGTGAAGTCTTTTAATTTGCATTCAAAGCTAAGTAGTAGGATTACATTCCCTTTTTGGCTGACCTGTCTCCTCTGTACAGTTATTGTCTCTATGTACATTGTGCTTGTTCATTCAAACAAGGTTTAAGTATAGCTGGGTAAAAACAATATGGTTACACACACATTCTCATTCACACACATACACATTCCTTTGGATTGCTGCTGGTAAGGATGGAGTCCGCAGCATCAGTAGCATTAAGGCGACATCTCTGCTGACACTTTGGCTCAAAGTCAGACACAGAAAGACACTAACAGGCACAAACTCCCCTTAGCTCCAAAATGTTAGGCAGTATGAACAAACATCTATAATGCATAAGTATCACCTGGTAAAGTGCAAATCAGAAGTCTTTGGTTTGATAGCTATTGGCCTGTTTTTTCTTTCATACACAGAGTGACCTTTTTGTCAGAAGGAAACCTGTCTAACTCTTAAAAAACACTGTCTTTGTGCTCAGCACATCTTTGGAAGCTTCCAGTTAACTTTGGCTTTTTGGCTCTTTAGCTTTTTAGCTGATTGAGGCAAGCTGTTACATTTTAGAAGTGGTGAAATACAAGAGTCCCTCTTTGCTGGCCTAGAATAAGATATGACACTACGATGCAATTCCAAGTCCTGGGACACAGGAGCTCAACTCCTGGACATCACTACTGAGATTCTTGCCTTCAGTCTCATCAAAGCAGAACAAGTGCCCTTGTTGGAAAATCTCCCTCAGAGTCCATGAAGATGCAGAGCTTCTGCTCACTTCTCATCACTCACAGAGCAGTCCACAGCTATGATGTCCTGTATTTCTGTGATTTTCACCTCATCCCCTGGGATCCCCACTTCTATTGGGATCTTCAGCTCCGCTGGGATCTTCTCTGCCGAGGAGCTGCAGCTGGACAGTTTGTCTATCTCATCCTCCAACTCGGAGATGCGTTCAGCAACACAGTGGGCGGTAAGTCTGGCCTCTGGGTCATGGTCCCAGCATTCCATGATGGTGGCACAGATAACTGCCACACCCTGTAGACAGAGGAAGAGAGCAGGAATGTAAGAATACACACTAAACAAAATTCTGTGAACTCTTTGGGTAAATGTAGCATATTCTCAACCAAATTATTTGAATGCTATATGGCCATTTACACATAACCAAATAACCAGTGTTTTTCTCCCCCAGACTTAATTCCCTTAATAAGTTGACCTACAAGCTACTTTTCAGATTAAGATTTCACAATAAGAAACAAAACATATAGCTGAAAGTGGCAATCCCAGCTTTAAGATCCTTTTTAGCCAACAGGAAGAAGCAGCTCAACTCTCAAAATCAAAACCACAAGCAGCAGCAAGTGTGTTTCAGGCTTCACAAAGCTGATCAAAGTCACATCTTAGTGCAGGATGAATCTATAGTGGCTGTGGAGATGCCCAATTCCATGCTCATGAAGAAGATCAATTCTGAGGCCCATTCACCTCCTACTGAGAGATCCCATCTGAAAATCTCACTTGCCAGTCTATTATTTGGTATGACCAACATTCTGTTCCACAGGTTGTATTGGTGCGTCAACTTAAAGGGACTGAGTACTTCTTACACCACTGGTTACAGATGGCTTCACCTATTCAAAGCTTTGATAGCTGCAGGAAAAAAAAGATTGCTCAAAACTTGTAGTTTTGATCTTACATGGTAATTTTCTGGTGGAGCAGGTGAGAACTGTAATTTAGGATACTGTGTATCTTAATTAAAATGACATCATTGTAAAGTTGTTCTACTGGCGTCTCCTTGATTACAATGATCCAGACGGAAGAGTTGCATAACATATCATATTAAAAACTAGCATAATGGAATGGAAGAATGCTCATGCACGTAAGAGATTTTTTTATCACCTCCCATTGAGGTATTAGCTCCCATTGATATTATAAATCTCTTTTTCAAGTGAGTCCCGGCTAACATAGGCAGCAACACAAGATACAAATAAGTTATTATAAACAGACACAAAACAAAATACCAGACATGGAACAAAGTGTGGTACAAACTGTGCATCTAAAATATTCAAATAAGTAAAAACACCACAACCACATTTCAAAGATATAGAGATAAAAAAGGTTAAAAAAAATAAAGTCAAAAGCATTTCTCTGTGAATGTATCCACACACATTCACAGAAGAGTGTATTCAGTGTTGATGGCTCATTTTCATCAAGGAAGGGACCAAGGGACAACACTATCAGTAACAATACTAATGTTTTGTCTATGAAAAAATAAAAAATATATTTAAAAGAATTCCTACAAAATGAAAAATAACAGTGTGTATCCATGCTACAGTTAGTATCTGTGTGAACAGTATGTTGGTCTAGTATAGCAGCTCAGTGTAGGTCTGACCTGATGCCTGAGCCAGGTGTCGGGGATCTCAGGTCTTCCTCTGTCTCTTAGCACGTTATCCTTCATGCTCTCCACACAGGGGTGCTCTCGCACTTTAGAGCCGTATGCAGGCTCATAGTCCTTCACCTCTGCAAACACAAACACAGCCCAGTGCACATCATTAACTGAGTCTCAAGTGCAGAAAATAACTTTTCTATTATGTCATGTTGTCTGTGCCATCATATTTCTGTTATTTGCAGCACTTCCTGGTATCTATGTGGTGACAGGAAGATGAAGATGAGCTGGCCAAGTTCAACATGAAAATCAAACAAGGCCCCATTTCATGGCATGGTTTCTGACACCATGAATATTTCAAGGTAAAAAAAAAAGTGTTTGGAAGAAGTGAAACATATGCCCCGTTGTTTTAATACGATCAAAAGTGTAAATGCATCCTGGTATGAGGACATTCTACTCCAAACTACTGATCAATGACCCTGGTAACAATAATAATAATAATAATGATAATAATAATAATGATAATATTAATAATGCTGACAGTAGAAAATAAAATGTCTTTCATGATGTCTCTACATCGGGAAATGCTTGCTATGGCACTTGAACAATGATCTTTTCTAAAAACAGAAAAAATCCGCGCCCACTAACAAGCAACTAGCTACAACCTCAGACTGTGCAGAACACTAAAATAACAATCTGTCATTTTTTTTCACTATTTACTACTATGCTGAAGAACTAGTAGGGAAAAAGAGAGAGCATGTTGCTGAAACCTTAAAAAATGAAAAACAAAGTTCTGGGATTGGGTCCAGACCTTATGAAACTGAACCCACAACAGCTGCAGTCTGTCTTCAGCCACAAAGACAAGCTCTTAGGGTCTCACAATTTCTGTAAAATGAGACATTAGCTGCTGCAAAGTCATCTTCTGTTACTCATCTACGCCAGATAATTATATTTAACTAACCAGCAACAAGTGCAAGCATCATGCTCTATGTACCCTGTCTTGTTCTTACATTTAACACTTTCTATGTGCCGTATATTTCACAACCTATCAAACATTGTGTATTGATGGTGTACCTTATTAGTGCGAAACATATGCAACATCTGAGCTTTTCTCTGGGTACTCACTAAAATGAGTTTCATATTCACTGTCAAATCGAAGCACCATTCAGGACTAAAAGGCAATCCTAGTACTCAGTAAAACACAACAAGTCCTTTTATCTGTCTTCTTACATATCTTCGGCTGTAAAGGTTTACTAACACTGACTATACATTGATAAAAGAATTCAGAATTTTCCTCTCATCAAATCAAACTCAGTATTCATTCCTGACCTTAAACAGCAATAATTTCTCCACACTGTCCATTAAGTTGCTGTTCTGGAGCTTTCAACAATAACAAATGATCTTCAGGGGCAGATAAAGATTGTAATGGAATTGACCGTTCCCTATTTTAAGAAATATTTTCAAGTCAGAAATCACTAACTGCACTGGCAGCCAGATTTGCTTATTTAAATCAAAAGCAGGCTCAGATCTAAAATGCTCTCCAGTGTTACTTTTCGTTGACAAAAATTATAATGAAGACGAGATGATGACGAGCTAAAAACAAATCTTGATAATACAAACTAAGACAAAATCTATGTTGCATTTTTGCTAACGAGATGAGATGTGTTGAAAATGTTAGTGGTGGACTATCGGACATTGAAAGCAGTGAACGGCCGTGTTTATAATTATCTTCAAATGTCACATGAGTGACAGGCTGGTAAACTCCAGTAAATAGTTTGAGCCACAATGTTTTGCTTGTTTGACAGGCAGGTAGGAGGCTCAGTTATCTATGAGTGTATAGCTGTGTAAGTAAACAGTCTGAACCCAGATCAGTGACATGAGTTTAAACCTCCAGACTAACATGTTGCAGATTAAGAACGAATTCAGGCTTTAATTAAGTTATTTCTCTGTCTCACTCAGAGTTTACAATGAACCTCGGTACAAATCCTAATCGTCTCAGATTAGTTATTCGTGGTGTCAAAGTTTTTGAGAGCATGAGTAGAGAGATGTTGGGCTTTTCAAATGATGATCAGTAAGTGTGTGCTTGTAAATCACCCCTTAAACCTGTCAAAAACTACTGGAGTAATTTGAGTAATTAAGTAATGCAGAAATTATTTGTAGTTGTAGAAAAAAATTGTGTAAATGAAATTTTTATACAACCTGTCACCTTGATTCTAATTTCCTATACATGAATTAGCCTTACTTAATTAGTTTAAAGATAAAAACATATTGAAAACATAATGACTAAAAGTTGACTAAAACATTTAGAGTAAAAATTAAAAAGCATTTTCTTCTCAAGAGATTGACTATATCTAAAACAGCTGTCAAAATTAACACTTGAATTTTTGATATGGGATTTTTGCAGTGTTCATCATGTTCATTGTAAGATTATTTTTCCTGCAGTCCTCCGACTGCCTATAACCTGGTTCAGCAGCTGCAAATATAAATAGAAATAACATACGTTGTTCATGTTAATTAGTATGAGGGTATAATGAAAAGAAAAGCTGCAGTAGTTTCATTTAAGTCAAGTCCCTGTGGGCTCTGCTGCTGAGTCCTCAAACACAGGAAGAGGGACGGTTGGAGTGGAACCCCCGGACAGGAAGTTCGAGGTCTGGGATCGGGACTGTGTGCAGAGAAACTGTCTAAAAGCCCACACTTCCTGTTTTTGACATATGGAACTTCCCCCCTTTTTAGCATTTTAAAACAGGATCCAGCCCATCCCTAACCCAATCCCTCAGCCATTCCCCTGGAGGTTATTTGTACCAGAGCTGGTATTGTGCTCAGTGCTCTGCTGTTTAGATCTTCTGCTGTGGAGCTGGTATAAATACCACACATTTTCCTGGGCTGGATACAGCTGAAACACAGACCAGCAACGAGCTGACCTAAACTGAGAATGTTGAAAACAGAAATAAAAAGAGGTGAAGCACTTTGTACACATCCAAACATGACTGTAGTTGAAAATGTCTTATTTCATGTTGTGATGCAGATATAGCTCGTATACACTTGTTCTTATATTTCTGAATAATATCAGGGACATCAGAGAAGCTTACAGACACACAGACTGTTACTGCAGTCTACACAAGAAGTGCTGCCTGTTTAACTAAAGCAGTTCTGGACATTTGAAAGCTATGAGAAGAATTTAATTTGTGGTTTGAGAACATATTTCACAAGAGACTGCAACCAGAGCCTCAGTCTCACTTTCCCCTTCGCTGTCTGGGGCCCATGGTTAAAGGCCTGCTATATCCAGTCTGTGGGGTGGAGAGCGGTTTATGACAGCTTCCTTTTAAGATTATTTGTCTGAAACCTTTGTGGCCTGGAGGTTAGCTAAAACCTCTATGGCTGGCTACACTGTCTGGGATCTGCTATCTTGAAAACACAGCTCCATGTTTGGCATGCAAGAGATCTTAAACTCCCAACAGGTGTATAACATGAGACAACTCCCACATCAACGCAAAACAAACTACATCATAACAAGTAGAGATGAACCTGCATAAACTCTAATGAACCACAATCTCTCATCAAAACAAAACCTCTTCATCCAAGCCAAGCATTGGCCCATCTCCAGAGGAAGCTGTGGGCTGATTTGCTGTGGCAGGTTTGCGGCTACCACATCAGGGTGCTGTGACATTTGAACATCTATACTGCTAGTGGTGTACAGAGCCCTTAAGGTCCTGAGAGGTAAATGTGTTTTATCTTGTGCACCCAAGACAAAGAAATGAGTCACTCTTCAAGACTTTTGGGGCTCTGTAGTTTGACGGGGCTTTAAGAGGCTAAAACCAGTTGAGAGAAATTTTTGCTGCAAGCAGGTGAATCTATTTCCATTAGTGTCTGGGCCTTAAAGCAACACCTTCTCGCTCTGACCTCGTTACATATCCACATTTGGTCATGGACTTTCCACATCGACATATGACATGCAAGGTACATCACGGTATCAGCAACTGGCCATGTATCATGCCAATATGAAAGGAGAGTTTTTTTTGTCTGTGTCTGATGCTGGAAGTCATTGACCAAGCGCTGGATTTTGATGACTTTGGAGTGAGACCGGATTGGTGCTGAACCACTGCTGGTTGAAATTACAGCAAGTAGTTGTCTCTTTGCTTGTCTGTTTGTGGTTGGAAACAACAGCGATATACAACATGTTCATTCATAAAATTAGACCCAAAGGTAGGCACAGTTTTGAGATTTTGAAAAAGCCAAGCCAGCTGTTTCTCTCTGCTGCCAGTCTTTATGCTCAGCTAAGTGAATTCTCCCCTTGCTTCAGCTCCTGACACAACATACAAACATGAGAGTGGTATCAAACTTCTCATCTTTCTCACAGCAAGAAAGTGAATGAGCACTTTTGTCAAAATATCAAAATCTTCTTTTTGCTCTGAAATGTCCTCTGTCCCCCAGCCCCATTGCGGTATAGCAATCACCCCCTCAGCGGCTGTCTCCATTCACCAGCCTTTAGCCTGGCACAGTGCAATCCCTTCACCCAGCACCATTACCCCGCATAACCCTCAACTCAGAGAGAAAATGTAGACCGTGCCCTGCCCTGCAGGCTAATTCAGAATATGTAAATAAAATAATAAAATGTGTGAATGTACTATAACTGAGCACAACAATACCAGGGCAGAGTAGTATTTCTATCCTTCATTTTGTCCCCTGCTGTTGGGGTGGAGACAGAGGACAGACACATGCACACAATCCCAGACTAAGACATAGAAACACGGCTAGATTAGGGCATTCATGCAGTAGCTCCTCTCTTCCTCGGTTTCTAAATACCTCTCTCTCTGAAATAAACACACACACATGTCGGAATGTGACTGTCTCATTCTAAATGTCTGTCTAAAAAAAGCCCACTAGGCAGAGGGACGGAGGTGGACCCGGAGAGACTATGTGACATCTAATTTGGGTTTTAAATGTCAAGACTGAGGATGTTTTTGGAAGTGAGGACATTTTGTCCAGTCGAAAAATTTTAGAGCTGAAAGAGTTGCTACAGTCATTCCCCCTCATTATACTGACTGAAAAGGGACTTAGAAAGGATACACTGTCCTATCATGTAGGATCGGAGTCACTTTTCGAGCTCAAAAAAGGTTATGAATTCAATATTCAATCTATAATCTTCTGTTAAAATTTAATATTCTACGTGTGTACAACAGTCTGTGCCTTGTGGTCCAGTGTCCATGTGTTTGCTGACTTTGTAAAACACACCTGCTTTATATTGTTATTAATTTGTCAGTCATGTGAAGCAAAGGCTCAGTGAATTAAATGCATATGAAATTTACTTGTGTGCTGAGGCAAAGAGCAGAAGAAAAAGAAGAAAAGTGTTGTTGTAAGAAAAAACTTCCAACCCAGTAGGCTGACAAAGTTCACTGCAGCCTACATAGATTCCCGCCTGAGAATGAAAATGTCCATACTCTGATATTCTTATTCTTATTCTTGGAAAGGCATAGAAGCCTCTCTCTCTCTCTCTCTCTCTCTCTCTCTCCCTCTCTCTCTCACACACACACACACACAGACAGACAGACAGACAGACAGACAGACAGACACGTGCACACGCACACACACACACACACACACACACACACACACACACACAGAGCTGAAACAGGTATAGTACCCACTCCTCCTCTCTCTCCCTGATTCTTGCCCAAAGAAGGGCAACAGCAGAGTTGAGATTGTCTCCCTCATATATCAGACATTCCTAAGATGCCTGCTGCTGACCTGGAGCTGAGGTCGAGGTGCAGTCTGACAGACATGACCATCAGACCCCCTGTTGACACCCAAACCCCCTGTCACTGCGTAACAGAAAACAGTAGCCTGGATCTCTTTACAGCATGCATCCTTCATTTGAAATCAATGAGTTACTTTACAACATTCCTATCTGTGTAGAGTAATAAGTTAATTATTACAATACTTTTGCATTACTTTGAACAAAATAAACTCAGAAAAACTAATGTTCATTTTAAATGGATGAGGGTCATGTTGTTTCACAGCAGGTAACCAAAGCAAGGGAGCTCCAGTTTATTACAGCTCAATTCAAATCCAGTGCTGCGCAGGTCAGACCCATTCATGCATTAACATACAGTGGTTACCACTTTGTATAAAAATGAAAGAAAAAAAAATACTGAGAGCAATTAAATAGCCTAGACCTTTTTAAATTAACGGATAGCCTTGGACACATGGAGGCTCAACTCTGATAATTATGACATATGGATCAATATTTGTGGGCCAACGATATGAAACACAATACAAAAAATGTTGAGGTTAGCACAACAAACAAAATTGGCGTGCAAGTCAGTTACTATGATGAGTGCAGATTAAAACACCGGAGCTGGAAGACCCACCTGCCGGAGAGAGAGTTATGCATAAGAACAGGACTGTGTGCTTGTGCTGCTCTGCAGCTGCAGGGGATGTGAATGGAAACATATCCAACATATACTAACATCACCCAGATGTGCCGATAATCAGGACGAGGAAAAAATATGAACTGTAGGCCAGATCCTTATCCCCACTGCTTTCATGCAGCCTTAGGACACAAGGCTACTATACTAATGGAAACACACTGAACATGAAAACATACAGTACGACATGACTCAGCTGTGCTGATCACTGACACCCTTCTATAATGTAGTCTGTGATGACATGGCAAGACACAATAATCTTTTTGTCTGGTGGTGCACTGGTGGAAGTGGGGCTGTGTGGATCAGTGTGAATAAATGACAATGCACAGTGTATTTCGGGTGGTAACATGGTAAGTGACACTGTAAATGTAATAATATTATGTTGGTAACGCATTATATTACTTTGTTACTGCTAAAAGTAACAAATATATTACTGTAACACCTTACAAAAGTAATGCATTGCCCCCAACACTGATCATGTAGGATAACCAGGATGCAGAGAATATATTCACTTTTATTTGAGAGGAAATGGATGAAAGTGCTCCTTGAAATTTGTGGAGGAGAAAAAAGGTTTCCTTGAAATGACATGAGACAGACATGATCTTGACTAAGTAAAATATCATAACTGATGTTACCCATATTATGTATTCCTGTATCTTGCATACGGACCTGTCTATTATCTATATCTGCCCAGATCGGATTCCTATAATCACTCTTGCCTTTAGTGTTTATCATGTTTGTCATAACTAAAACAAAAACATCAGTACATATTTTTCTTTAAGGTTTATTTTAAGATTTTTTTTTTCTTTTCTGAGCAGTGGACATGCATACCAAGTCCTATGGTAGTGTGAAATACTGACTGTTTTCTCACTCTCGTAAACGAAAATACTAAAGCTGGTAAGACCTTCATTGTCAGTTTCATCAAATCCTAAGTGAAATAAATCCAATGACAATGACTTCCGGTGTCAAACGGCAACGAAAATAGCCATCCTTTCACATCGGCTACACGGATACACGACCAGTCAGTGTTACTGTTTAACGCTGCCTGGTAGTTTCAGGGGGAAATGCAGAAGGATAACAATGAAAGTTACGGTGGCGGAAGTCTGAGTAGGGTAGGCGGGAGGGGTGGTGGATTGGTCCAACAACCACAAACTTTCACCCAGGAGGCCAGTGTTGGCTTCCCTTAAGATTATAAAGCCAAACCCTGTTCTTTGTTTTCAAAACTTGAGTTGGCTAAACGTAACCATGTGCACTTGTTGTTGAAGGAAAAAAACGTCAATTTGTGGTGTTGTGCTAACGTAGTGCTTTTATTTTGAAAGAGACTGTATGCAAACTGTACATTTCCTGTGAAACCAGAAGTGTTGAAAATAGACAATGCATGTACAGTACAAGGCAGAAGTTGACGCCGAGTTCAAGAACATCAACAACCAAACGCAGCCAGGTTACTTTGCACGGTATATCTCCACATGGAAACTCCATGACCAAACATCGGTATGTGACGAGGTCGGAGTGAGAATGTGTTGGACCAGTAAACATGGTATTAGTAGATCACTCAGCAGCTGAAGAGTCACATACAGTCAGAATTTTGTTAAGGCCAAAAAACAGCTAGAAGAAGAGTGAATATTGGACTTAGAAACAGACAGGCGTCCAGAAATTAACTCCATGAATGAATGAATGAATGAATAAGTTGGACGTGTAAATAGATAATAATTTCTATAACAACATTGTAAGGTGTAAGTTGAGTTTCCAGTAGTGTACACCTTGTCCCCAGGTAAATATTTTCATTTAGATGTTTCTGCAGCTGGGCGTAGGAGTGAAGGGAGTTCATTATCAACAGGAGTAGAGGCTAAGCAGTCAGATTATCATATCACATTACAAATACCTTACACACATCTTCACATGCTGCCTCCGCTGCTACATGAGAGGACTGAGGACTACCGGTCAGACAGATCAGCTGCTGAACTTGTTCCGATAACCCAAAACTCTGGCCATGTATTGTCACTGTTGAGTCTCAATAGTTGGCACTTCACCTCAGTAGAATTGTTTTGCTCTCTATGTAAGTGTGTGCTTGCGTGTGACATGACATCATGTCATGCACCCTTGCCTGAAACATTTAATTATGGAATATATGTATTTGTGGTGTGTGTGCATGCGCTGACCTCCAATAGCTTCACACCTCGATGTCATCTCCCAAAGTACAAGTGCCATGGAGTAAATGTCGGTCTGTTTGAAGGACTCAATGTTCTCCAGATTCAGTCGGGCCTCCAGCACCTCAGGAGCCATGTAACGTGCCGTACCCACCTGCAATACAGAGATACCAGGAGGTGTTAGCTCACAAGAACACACACATACACTGAGCATAGGAATACACTTGTTTCTGCACCTGTGTGTGATGTTGACCCTCTTCTATTGTCTGGCTTGTGATTTGTTGTTGTTGGAACAGTCAACCGCTGACTGTCAATAAACCTGACTCACCCCCTTACATCATTCATTATTACACATCAACTACTGTACTGAGTACAGCTGAGCTTACTTTGTAATGCAACTTCAAAAAATACACTATGAAATTTTCCATGTTGCTGGTGGGTTGCCAACACATTCTCACTCTGACCTTGTCACATATTGTCCTTTGGTCATGGACTTATAATGCGCACGGTACCCTGGGTGTGTTTGTTGTTGACGTTCTGGATGCTGTGTCAACTTCTGCCTGTAACATGCATTATCTGTTTTCAAAATACACTTCTATTTTTACAGGACATGTACAGTTTGCATACAGTCCGTACAACAATGTAAATTTTTTTTTTGTTCTCCTTCTACAACAAACACACGTGGCTACGTTCTGTCAACACACATGATTGGGTTTACGCAACAAAAACACGTGGTTGGGTTTAGAAAAAAATGACAAGGTTTGGCTTTACAATCTCACGGGAAGTGAACACTGGCCTCCCAGATGAACGTCGTTGGACCCATCCACCACCACATCCACCCAAGAGAAGAAGATGAATTAGTGATATGCAGAAAGAGGACATGAATGTTGCCAAATAAAGAAGAACCAACTTTTCTGATTCTGAGAATGAGAGGGAGAGAAGGAGAGAAGGGGCTCAGTGTATCACAGGAAGTCCCTTGGCAGACTAGGCCTATATTAGCTTAACTAGGGGCTGGTCCAAGGCGAGCCTGAGCCAGCTCTAACTATAAGCGTTTTCAAAGTAGAAACTCTTAAGTCTCGTAAGGGTCTTTTCATCTGACCTGTCCACTGTTGGCGAGGTCATCCACAGACAGACTACTGTCTAAACGAAGTCCAAGGCCAAAGTCACACAGGCAGCATGTCAGGTCGTTCTTCACCAGGATGTTGGAGCTCTTCAGGTCTCGATGGACAATGGGAACCTTTAAGCACAATGGAAGTACTGGGGTTTAAAAGTACTAATTAAATAAAAAGAGCACATAGAAATTTGTGTATACACATTATATAAAGACATTTCATACTAACAATGCCGGTGTTGATTACACTCTGAGGGAGAGTCAGTGAGGCTTTAGACTTTGTGTCTAATCTGATCTGATCATTATTAGGGTATAACAGTGTCTAAATTGTTTCTTTCTATGGCTATTTTGACAATGACAATGGTTATTATGGGAAGTATAGATTTTTAGCCCTGAAATACTGTTTATCAACTGTCACATGGATGTATTCACACAGTCCTACCTTAGGGCGTCCACAGACGAGGCGGTCACTGTGAAGGTGGGCGACACCTCGGGCCAGAGACCTGCCCAATACCTGCAGTTCCTCCCAGCTTATCACATTACGTGTCAGGTGCTCCTGGTGAGCAAAGGGATGATTAACAGAATTATGAATTAAAAACAGGTTAATGCTGAAACACATGAATGAAAAAGAGTATCTACCATGGGAATCGCCAGTCACACCATAAATAAAGCGGATTTGTACTTGTTTGTTAGCTCTATGCAGAGCCTACGCACATGGCCTATGCCGTTTATACTTGTGCAGTGATGTGTCTGCGTCACTCTGCAGTTACACCTCCAAAACACTAGTCAGTGGAGGGGTTTCTGTTAAGTGCTGTAAAGTTTAGTTAATTAAAAAAAACATGTAAACACATGGCTTAATAGAGACAATTTCAAACACAAGTACACAAATCGGCTTCACTATAAGAATTCACATTGCTAGACACATTTTCCCCACAAAAACAACATGCTAATGTTATTAGCACATGCCTTTGGAATTTAAAATTGCTTTAATTAGCCTAGTAGCTAGCGGAGATTTCCTTTTCTCATGTGAGGTCAGTGGCAACAGCAACATTTAACAAAGGTAATGTTACATAATTAGGCTCCATTACAACTCACAAGGTTCACTGACAGCAACTGTCTTGTACTAAACACGTTTTCCAAACAAATACAACATGCTAACATTATTAGCATAAGCCTATGGCATTTTATATTGTATAAATTTGCATAACAAAAAGCGGAGATTTCCTATACTCATATGGGGCCAGGTTAAATCACATACAAAAGTTAAAATGCTATTTTGTGGGGGCTTTCTTGTCTCCACAATTTATTGTTCCTTATCTATGAAATAAAAGTCAATAAAAGCTTTGTTTCCACTGAGGGAAATGGTTTTCATCTTACAAAAATAGACAGGAGGTCTGCGTCACCGCAACATGTAGTTACATCTGGGGACATGCACGTCAGGCTACAGCATCAATTTGACACAGAAGTACAAATCTCCAAATACTACCCCACTCATGTTTGGTTACCTGATGGTGGCAGTCTCACCTGGAGATTTCCCCTGTGGTGAAAGGCAGTGATGAGCCAGTACTGTTTCTCCACCTTCCTCTCCTCAGCTGTCAGGAAGTGGAGAATGTTCTCGTGTCGAAGGTCTGTATTGGAGAAGATGTCTTTCTCGTTCTTCCAGGATGCGTATTCCTCATAGGGGAAGATCTTCACAGCTACTGTTTCGAACTGATCTGACGTGGTCTGCTTCAGCTTAGCCTTGTATACCTGGGCGAAGCGTCCCTTTCCCACCTGGGACAGGATCAAAAGTTATGTTTTTAATTAGAATTTCATTTAGAATGGCTTAGAGCAGAAAAGCTCCACAAAACAACTCTGAAATACTATACTAGTCTGTACCAGCAGATCCAACTCTATAGGCAGTGGCTCAGTGTTGTGGTTCAGGTTGTTGGCATGCGTCGAACTGCTGTCTGACCGATCATCATCCATCATGATGGCGCAGGCATCGCTGCAGTCAAGGCCTCCAGCTTTTGGCTTGCGCTTCTTAATGCTGCTTTCCCATTCTTGGTTCATGCGTTGCCGATAGGCTCTGTACCAGTAGAACATTCCCACAATTACAATCCCCATCACCAGCAGGGGAAGCAGGCTCACCAGAATCACTGATACCAAGGGATTGTCCGGAGTTGGATCCACAACTGTAAAAGAAGATGGAAGATGAAATGAATATAAAGGTTATTTAAGTACTTGGCCTGAGACCAAGAGTATCATAAGCAACACACAATTAAATGAAATCAAATAGGAGGATTGATGTTGGACTACAAACACGATTTAGACTACTGGAACAACACATAAACTAATAATAATAGTAATAATACTACATTATACTTATATAGCACTTTTCATGACACTCAAAGACTCTTTACAAATTCAGGGACACAAAAAGAAAAAAAATGAGGAGAAGAATCTTGATTTGATTGTAAACAGTGTTGAATAGGTGAGTCTTGAGTGATGTTTTGAATATGGAGAGATAGGGGGGGTCTTGGATGGGTTTGGGGAGTGAGTTCCAGAGGGTGGGAGCAGCAATGGGGAAGGCCCTGTCTCCCCAGGATTTGTGCTTGGTCCAGGCGGGGTGGGACAGGAGGTTGGCATCGGCAGAGCGGAGTGTGCGGGTGGGAGTGCGATGATGGAGGAGCTCAGACAGGTAGGGTGGGGCCTGGTTATTGAGGGCTTTGTATGTTATGAGGAGGATTTTGAAGTGGATTCTCTGGGGGATGGGAAGCCAGTGGAGCTTATGGAGAACAGGGGGGATGTGGTCATGGGTGTGAGAGTGGGTGAGTAACCGAGCAGCAGAGTTCTGGATATACTGGAGCTTATTGAGGGTTTTCGGAGGTGATGAAGGTGTGGATGAGGGTTTCTGCAGCTGAGGAGGAGAGGGATGGGAGGGAGGTGAAAGAAGGCTGTTTTGGTTATGTGTTTAATGTGCTGGTTGGAAGGAGAGGGACTGATCGAGAATGACGCCAAGATTTCGGATATGAGGGGAGGTGGATACTGTGAAGCCATCAATTTTGAGGGTGAAGTTATGGTTGAATTTGGTGCGTAAACAGTGACATAGTGACATAGTGTTTATGACGTGCCAGAATTGTATTTAGCTACTGGCAGGCATTTAACCATCTAAGAGTTAAACTGCTTGTGGGCTCTTGCTGACATTTAGACTTTGAACTGAATCATTAAAGTCAGCCATGAACAGTTAGTAATATAGCATGTGTTGAATGTCGTGAACACTATAAACATGAGCCATAATTCTGCTGTCATCTCATTTTTTTGCCTCTTAGCATGTGCAGGGATTTTCCTGTCTATCTGCATTAAGGTGAGTGTAGAGGTTTTTGTAACATGGGGACATGTTCCATGGGGACAAAGCACTGTTGGAGAATAAGAGTAGTATTCATTTCGGGACTGTTACAAGTCTGTTAATGCAAACTCTGCTTTTCAAGTGTCTGCTTCCACTGCAGAGAACTGATCAGTAGTTTTAGCAGTAGCTTTGCTTAGTTAGGATTTACAAGCAAAGTCACAAGTTATTCTAAATTTATTTTTTAAAATGTTTCTGTTATTTCTTTTTGTTGGTAAATTAGTTTTAGATTACTTAGGACAAGAGTGTCAGGTGCATACAGAATTTATGTGTAAATTTAAATTTCCAACACAAGTCTGTTACATTTGGCTATTGATAAACCTGTTATATGCGCAGTGCACATTAGCCAAAATTCCATTTGTAATCCTTCAGATTTTAGTCCTGCTTGATTCACTGACACCTACTGGTGGTAACAGCAAGTCGGCCGATAATTGGCGTTTTTTCTAAACACAGTGCAAGCTGTTTCCCACACAACATAAGGGTAAGTTGGGCCTCATTCACTGATATGCTGGTAGAAAACTTTCCGCAAAGAATAAGTGTGCTCTCAAAATGATTGTCACATTCATGACACGTGTGCACAGGCCAACTTTGTTCTTACCTTCTTTGCGTATGTTAGTGAATCAGAATTATTCTAAATTGACAGGTGCATCCCCACTTGTAAAAAAGGCCATCACTTTGTGCAGCATTCAGACTGAACTGGATAATATAATACCAACTCTCTCTGTCAGCATCCATCTGCTTTACCTGGACTATTCACCAATAACCACACAGCAAGGTTATGTCCTGCCCCTCTTAGATCAGAACACTTTGACTGTCTACTGCGAAGCTCGGTAATCTAAACAGTGGCCCCTTCTAATGGTGTTCCCCTTGTTGGACTTGGACTGACATTGTGGACATTATAGTGTGCGTGCATCAAAACCATGGGTGGGAACGGGCACAATACGCAGGACTTTGCAGTGAGTTAAAGGTGGTTATAGATGAGGATACTATGTTTCATTTAACTTAATTGCACATTTATTGAGATTCACTTCAAGACCCAAGTCTGGATATTGCATGTCCTTTTTAGATAATGATTAGTCATTCTAGAGTGTTCATATAGTTATGATATTTGCCACTGTCACTCGATAAAAATTACTCTCCATTGGAGCCTGTTGCGCTGAGTTAAGTGAGTACAGATATTGAGGCGCTGGGTGGCCATAGCTTGAGTGAAAGTAGGTCAAACTGATATTTACCTTCTTCAACAATAGAGGGCAGTATTGTCATAACAATGTATCTCTCACCTAAGAGAGGCTTTGAGAATGTGTGCCTGATCTGTTTATTGGTGGTTTATTAGCTCATGTGTCAATTATTATCAAAGTTTGCTATTGATATGCTGAATGCTGTACATATATTTGTTATTCAAAGTTTTCTTGGTTTATTTGTAACATTATAGACAGCATTTATTTGATTGCAATTTAGGTACTTTCAGAACCACACAAATGGGTATAACCACAACATATATGGAGAATTGAGCCTGTGTTAGTTGTGTGGCACTAAATAAAGGCAAATGAGAAATAAGTGACTTTGGATTGTTCTTGCTGGCCACCCCTCAGTGGACCTTGATAGTATTCACAACCAGTGAGTGCTTAGTACTAGGGTAGCAGACATGGGGGAAAGTCACACATGTGCAAGTCACAAGCAAGTCTCAGGTCTTTACCTTCATGTCTCAAGCAAGTCCCAAGTTAGTTATGGTGAGAATCAAGCAAGTCAAGTCCCTGCTATAAGTCAAGCAAGTTGAGTCATTGCTCAGGTCAAGCAAGTCACAAGTCAAGTCATATGTCACATACAGCAAACATCTCCTCACGATCCGCTAGCTACATGTCCTCTGAATATGCTGTGAAAAAGTCCGGTCTCTGTAGGCAGCCCAGGCTCCGCAAATGGCAACAAAAACATGTGGGTCCAGGCCGCACCAACCAGCCAGCGCGAGACCAGCGAAAGCAAGCACACACACATGAACGAGGTGCCCAGAGAGGCAGTTAGAGCTACAGGCTACAATGACAGGGCTCTATGCTAACCTTTTAGTAATCTTTTAGCAATTTCTCCTAAAAATTTAGGAGCATAGAAAGAAATTTAGGAGTGCAGTGAAAATTTTAAATAACATTAAATAGGAAAACAACAAAGTACAAAGGCTCCTCTGGAGCCACCCTCTCCTCCATCATGTGTGTGATAAGGGACCAGCACACACACACAGGGCTACATTGGGCCTACTGCTCTACTATTAGACACAAAGGATGTCTTTAGTCCACTGGCTTTTGTAGTTGGGTCGCCTGGCACGCTTATTAAATAAATTTTAAAAATCTAATTCACGGTGAAGTGTCATGCATTTTCCACCAGTCACGTCAAAAAGCTCAGGGAAAAATATTTGTGGCTACAGGGGGGGATCAAAATAAAATAAATAAATACAATAAAAATCAACCAGCCACCCTCCTCCTCTGATAAGTTAGGAACAGTCCCTAAAGTGCGGTGAGGTTTGTGGACCGTTACCTGCCACAAAGAGAGAAATGTGAACGGCTCGTTTCTCCTCTGACACGTCACATACCTGTGTGTTGCCATGGCTTGGCTGTTCAGGTACTTCTGGGCAGTCATGACACCAATGAAGAGGAAATTATTGGACCTGGAGCCGGGCTTCTCGGTCACCGGTAAACCGTTATGCGGTGGCCATAGTGCTCCGCCGTATTCCTGTCTGTGACCCCCGTTCAACCCACAACCGACAGGATTCGCCTTTTGTTTCTGCTGCTGGTTGAAATCTGTACTCACACAGCGTGCTCCTGAATGATTTCTTTTGCTCGCACAAAACTATTTTTAGTTGCAAATGTGAGTAGCTCTGTTGTGTTTGATAACATTGTTGAACATAAACAGAAGTGACACCCAATGGTGCTTAGCGTGCCTTTAATATTGAATTAAAGCCAAGTCCTTTCGAGTCATCTGTTTCAAGTCAAAGTCAAGTCTCAAGTCATGAATATGAAGTCAAAGTCAAGTCTTTTATCAGCATTAGTCAGTCTGACTTGAGTCAAGTCATGTGACTAGAGTCCCCCATCTCTGTAGGGTAGCTTTATCTGCTTCAGCAGCCCAGTATTTTTCAGCTCTATTTGCAGTCAACATGCTGCCATGCCCCCATAACAGGTCAGATAGTAATATTAAGGAGGAGGATGATGACAAGGAGGAAGATGTGGACGGCACACAAAGAGGGAGACAGTGTGGAGACAGAGACGGAGGACAGCTCCGCCCCTTCATGCAGCTGCGGTGCCAAATGAAAGACATGGGAAAGGGAGTGGTGACAGAGAAATAACTCTAGTGAAAGAAGCAAGGGAGGAAATGTGTATTTTAATTTTGTCACATATTGCAAATTTTTCACAACACATAGGACAAAAATAACTGATTCAGTGTGCAAGGATTCTGTTTGTTACGATTTTTTTTGGATGACAGATGAATGAAACGCATTTGAAAAAAAATAGACTAGGCCTTAAACCTTAAACCTGTTACTGTCAATCCCACCTCTGCTTTATTAAGGCCTGGTGGCACAAGAGATTTAGTTCCTAATAGACATAGTTGTGGGGATTCTGGTAGAGGTTGACTGAGTCACCTTTTGAGATTTTTCAGTGCCACCTTCTGAAAAGGTCATACCGTGGACATGGCCTCGGGTGACCAGACATCCCGAAAAATTCGGGACCCGAATCCCAAATCCTGCCCTAATTGTCCTGAAAATTACACTAGAGCTGGAGTCTGGAGTACTAGTTATTGCCTGATAAA